TTTCAAGCAGGCTTTTTCCCTCTTTCTAAGATGGGTATTTACAAGCCATTGGATGAAGCCCTGGCGATTAGGTCGCACGTTGCCACATGCGCCAATTCCAAGATTGTCTAAATGTCTAAATAGTGGCACGCTTGTATATAAATTGTCCATGTATAAGAGGGCTCCACCTAACGATCTTTTCCCTCATAAATCTGAAAATTACATGTATAGCCTGTTGCCCTTTCACAGGTCTTATACATTTTAACCCCACATCTGGCCTGTTTGCTGTGGAGACACGGAATTAGGTGTGACACCCGCTTTTTTTGGCCCTCTTGTCCTGACCAACCTGGTCTCTGCCTCAAGAACTGCTTCTGTTGCTAGTGGACTATAGGATACAGCATGGCACAGTCTAGGGCACATACTGTATGTGCAGAGGGTCTAGAAAGATGTTAGGTAGTCAGGAAACCGGCTATCACATTTTGAGAGAGCCTACCATCTAGTTAAAAGTTAAAAAAAGTTAAAAAGAAATAAAAAAGTAAAAAAAAACTATTAAAAAAGCAAAAATAGTTGACACAGTTGTTGTCAAGTTACTGTATTATTGTTACGGTTTTACTATTACTGTTTTATTGATAACATTGCTGTTTTCTTTGCAGGAAAGCCATGCAGCTGCAGCACCGATCTGTTTATTCTGACAGCAACAGGGTCTTGCTCTAGAATATACATAAGTGTGTGCAGCGCTGTTGGATGAGATTTTTCATCCGCAGCATATATGCCCAAACAAGGGGGTCTGGCATGGCCAGTGGGTGGATGGCCCCTATGCTTTGGCATATATTTTAAAAAAAAATTTGGGCAGAGTTTTCTTCATCCACATTGATTGATGTAAGGAATCTATTAGGTTCTTTTTTTTTTTTTCATTCAGCCCACAGCTCATGGGGGCCCACCACTAGAAGTGGGTTGATGTAGTGTTGTATATTCTAATGGTGGGCATACCAGACACTTTTTCTGGCAGAGATTTCTTCTCTTTTTTTCATTTAGCCCACAAGCTGCATATTAAAATGAACCCAACAAGGATCAGTGACGTACTGGTACATCACTGGACTTTGAATGGTTATACCAGGATGATGCCTGCAGCTACAGGCATCAGCCTGATATTGTTTTTTTCAGCCAGTGATCGGCTTTCATGAAAAAGCAAACCTAGTGGCTAATTAGCTTCAGGATTGCTTTTACAAGCAGCAAGAGAAGATGCCCCCCCTTCCCCACTGCCTTCCACGGCTTTCTTGGGCAGTCCCCGTGCCATTGATGGAACCTGAGAATGCAGCTGATGTTTCTGCCAGCTGACCATAGAGCTGATTGGAGACTGGAATGGTACCAATCATCTCTTTAGTCTAAAAAGTTACAAGCATTTCATCACTTCAGTTTCGTAGGATTTAAACAGTACAATTTTTAAATTGGGAAAGCATCTGATCACACCAATCTTGGAGAGGTCAGATGATGTAAGGGCAGAGGAGATATCTAGAATCTAATAGACCCCAGATACCACATGTGAGAGACTTTTTGGCAGTCTAGCTGCGTACAGGACCCCAAAATCCAATAAGCACCCTTAGGCATTTAAAGGGCTTTATTTCCTCATTACACTTCCTGACTACCTATCACAGTTTCAGAGGCCCTGAAATGCCAGAATAGTACAAAATCCCCCAAATGACTCCTTTTTTGGAAAGTTGACACCCCAAGGAATTTGATAAGAAGCATGGTGAGTGTGTTGTAGATCTCGTTTGTTGCCACAAGTTTTTGGAAAATGAAGAAAGAAAACAAACACATTTTTTCTTTTTTTCTCTTTTTCAAAACCTTGTGAGAAAAAATGAGATCTGCAAAATACTAACTATGCCTCTTTTTAAATTCCTTGGGGTGTCTACTTTCCAAAAAGGGGTTCATGGGGTACTATTCCTCCCACTGACACCAACAATGGGGCACTATTAATCCCACTGAAATCAGTTATGGGGCACTATTCCCCCCACTGACACCAATGATCGGGCACTATTCCTTCCACTGACACCAATTATGGGATACTATTCCTCCCACTGACACCAATTATGTAATTTTTTACTCCCATTTAGTAAACCAAGCCCATGGCATTTGCTACTCCCCACTGACCACAGTCCGGCCCCCGTAAAGACTGAAGGGCAGTAAACTGGCCCTTTGTTTCAAAAGTTTGGAGACCCCTGATCTATACCATAGTTTGTAGATGTTATAACTTTCACACAAACCAATTAATATACACTTATTGGGATTTTTTTTTTACCAAAGACATATAGCAAAATACATTTTGGCCTAAATTTATGGCGAAATTTGAGTTTATAGGATTTTTTTAATAACAGAAATGAGAAGATATATTGTTTTTTTTTTTTTCAAAATTTTTTGTCTTTTTTGTTTACAGTGCAAAAAATAAAAAAAAAACATACCCATACCACCAAAAGAAAGCTTTATTTGTGTGAAAAAAGGAGATACATTTCGTTTGAGTACAGCAGTGCATTTATCAAAAAATGGCCTAGTCAGGAAGGGGGGTCAATCCTCTGTAGGGCAAGTGGTTAATACAGGAGGTCTGCTACTGGCCAGATCACCAGGTGAAAACAGAGGGGAAAATAGCCTAAAAAAGAAAAACTAAGGCAGCCAGCATATGTAATGATTAATAAGCTGCAATATACACTTAAATACCAGAAACTTTCACCCCCTTCCTGCTCAGACCAATTTCCAGCTGTCAAGCTGTCACAATTTGACAATTGCTCGTTCATCATTGTACCCAAATTACATTTTTATCATTTGTTTCCACAAAAATTAAGCTTTCTTTTGGGGGTATTTAATCCCCATTCGGTTTTTGTTTATCTTTTGACAAATAAACAAAAAAAAGACCAACAAATTTTATAAAACAAAAATGTATTTTTCTTTGTTTCTGTTATAAAATGTTGAAAATAAATAATATTTCTTCGTAAATTTAGGCCAAAATGTATACTGCTACGTTTCTTTGGTGAAAATAACCCTAATCAATGTATTTTATTTAGTCTGTAGACAAGCTATAGAGTTCACAAACTATGGTATATATATATCTGAAAATTGATCAGTCCTGATGTAATGACGGCCTATTTCATTTCTTGGGGTCAAAAAATGCCAGGACAGTACAAATACTCCCTAGATGACCCCTTTTTGGAAAGTAGATAGAAAGTAGATAATCTAAGTTGTTTAGTATGAGACATGGTTTTAGAGGTTGTAATTTTTGGTCACAATGTTTTTAAATGAAGAAATTAAAAGTAATGTTTTCACAATTTTTTAAATACTGTCACCAGTGCCGTACAGAGTCATCATATAACTGGTGTGTCAGTGATCATGACAGTATATTAAAAAAAAAACAATTTTAATATATTTTTTTCATTTTTTATATTTTTTCTTTTTTATTAAATTTTTTCTTTTTTTTACAATGTTTTTTTACATACTGCGACCAGAGCAATATATTGTTACCATAGTAACACTGTACTACTCTAGGGAGGTGATCAGAATTTTTTATTTTTTTTACACACTATGATTACTTGATAATGATAATCACTGTTAAAAGCAACCATTTTTTCTGAATGAAATCAATTTATTCAATGTGTACTATTGTGATTGGCCCTTTCTGTATCATGTGATCACTGTAGCCAATCACAGATATCAACACAATAGTACACAAAGAATGGTATGAATGGAAGCCATCCATTGTCAAGTATACAACTGCCATGTGATCTGCTGTGACTGGTCACAGCAATCGCATGGTACCGACAGCAGCCCAATACACTGATTGGTGAGAGATCATGGGAGGATGGCATATGATGTCCACCCAGGATAACTGCGCTCCCACTTGGCCATCATTTGTCTATAGGCCAGGTGGGAAGCAGATATATTACATTTTTAGTTTTGGGTTTAATATCACTTTTTGTAATTGATACACGTATTAAAGTAAGAGCAAAAGTTTATCTTTCATTTGAAAAAAAGAATAATAGTTGTTTTTTGGTGAAAAAAGCTGATAGTTGCATGCACCCATGACAGTGTTATTTACTTTTGTATACCCTTACTGTATATACCAACCCACTTTTGTTAGACAGCTTGGTCCACATATTGCCTTATGATGTATATATTATTCCTTGCACAATGAAAGGTATGCCAATTACAGTTTTTAAAAATATTTACATATATTATAGCATTGTAATTTAATAAAATATAAAAAATTGTTATCAAAATGCCTGGGAAACTGCTGAATGACAGAAATAATTTGGATGCCAAATGTTTTACATTTTCTAAATACAGTATATTCATATAGTCATTGATTCAAGAACTGAAGCACAAAAAGAACAACATAGCAATGTAAAATAGAAAGAAAAGACAGCTCAGTTGTCCAAGCAATGATCTGAGATGCTTTCTCGCCTTTTTAAGACATAAGATGCATGAATGTCATTCGTGGTGACATTGAAGCAGTTGATTTGCATGGTCTACTCTTTATGCAATCAAATTGAGCGATATTTTAACTAGTGCAAAAACTATTGTTTGGCCTGTAAGCCATGATGAAAGTCTTAAACTGGCTAAAATGCATTTATACACATTAAAAAACACAGAGCTTGCTTAAATATTTTGCAATATATATGACATTATAGGCCTAATCTATACAAAAGTGAAGTTTCACTTCTGAGGAGACATTTTTGGTCTGTGGAGCTCTCTAATACTCTGATGGTTACAAATACCTTTCATATAATGTGCCTTTGCATGCATGCATGGTATTTTACATTATGAAGAATCCATTTTGGGAGGTGTCACCATATCATTAGACTATTTCATGGCTGTGGCAAAATATAAAAAATGAGATTCTGATGGAAATATCTCTCCAATAAAATCTTCATGAGATAAGAAATCAATATTTCATTCATCATTGCAAACATGCAAAACTACAACATAAATTTTACAAAGAGTTAGCCGTTAATGGTAATCTCTGTGAATTAATTTTAAAAGAGTGTTAAGTGCAATATAAAACCTACCAGGCCATTTTCATTGTTGGTAACGACTAGGTCTTCTCCATTTCCAACCAATGCTTTAATTTCAATGCCTAAGTTGGTTTCAGGTTGCTTCAGCCAGTTTTGCAGAACAGTTTTCACATCAAAGCTTTGCCAAGTTCCAAGTCCTGGATTCATGTCAAGTTTTAATGTTCGAATTCCAATGTGTCTTGTACCATCTTTCAAGGGTTTAATGAGTCTCAGGATTTGCACCACAACTGTTGCAGGCATTTGGACAGGCTTTAGATGTATCCATAATTGTGCCTTGGATATTTTAGCTGACTGAATTTCAGAGTTCAGTTTAAAATAACAGCATTTTTTTTGTTTTGGATGATTCATGGTCCAAATCATCTAATAAGTAAAGCAAACAATAGTGTTCATGACTTTCTGGATTGCTAAACTAAGACAAGATATATAAAGAAAGGAAACTTACAGACTATTTCCTGACCCTAGATATTCACATGTCATAATCAAATTGCTTTTGCAATTTAAGAAAAAAAACAAAATGTGCTATCCTGAACTATAATACGTTTCTGTATGTTGTAATACAGCTTTTCCCCAAGCTGTATGTTTTATGTAAGTGACTCCAGCATGTTAAACAGTGACCTTCTTGGATAGTGTGGATTTATTTATGTTCTACTTGTATACTAAAGAGAATATGCTGTATATGACTACCAATTGTTCACCATTTAGGGGCAAATCATTGTACATTTTTCTTAGCTGATTTAATGTTACTTTAGACAAATATAGTAAATAATGTTGATGTAACATAAAGATGCTGGCCGGGATCATGACGCAACATTCACACTAAGTCCCAAATACATTCAATCACATGATTGTAATGCAACAGTGCAATTGAGGATTTAGTCGCTAATTCCAGTTGGTAACACAGATCATATACAGTATACAAACTGCAAAAAGATAATATAGGAAATGCAAAAGAGTTATTACTATGTTACAAAAGTGCAAACATTTTTAACATTGCTTTATTACATTTTCAGGTGCTATCTATCTATCTATCTATCTATCTATCTGTCTATCACATTATAGATCCATTGATTACACAAATATTTGTCCTTCTATTACAAATTCCAATAAAATAGTTTTGTCCTAACTATAATTGGTAGTGAAAGTGAGAGGAGATAGGAAACTGGATCATTTCCAGCGCTGGCTTGTACATCAAGTTACCTGTTTCTAAGAACCACAAGCAGTTCTGTACATAAGGAAACTGTCTTTGAGCACACAACTTTCTACTGCAGCTGCTGCTGCCTATCTTGGCTATAAAATCATAAAGAGTTATTGCCATAAAGTTATGTAAGTGCAAAAATTGCTTCGGCATATTTTGGTACATGATCAGTATGTTTTAAATACTTTGAATAGAGAAGCATTAGCACTTACATTTGTATAATATATAAGCAGCTGCCCTTCTTGCCAACTTTTCAGCTAAATGCCATTTCCTGGCAGAATGTTATTCAACAAGATATGATTTAAAGCTACTTCCCTTTTTGCTGTTCTTAGATCAGTACTTAGATCACTGCTGTGTATTAAAAATATTTATTTATTTCCAGTATTTTTTTTATAGCTGAATAGGTTGGTAGATAGGCAAACTCGCCAAGGGTGATTTTTCTAGATATTGTTCAAACATATTATGAAAAAAGAGGCAAGCATCATATTTAAACAAGTATAAACAAAAAACTCTGTTATATTGTGGATAGCTTTTATATACCGTGCAAAATGTGCAATTGTAACTTTTAAATGTTTATTTCTGTATAAGCACATTTTACACAAATAGTGTTTTAGAAACATTTTGACTTTAGGTATATTCCAAGTACTACACTAAACACATTCATGTTAGTATACAAAGTTGTAAGTATAGCTATAGCAAACCATGTGATTGCTGTGGGACCAAGGAAAATGGGGGGCCAGATATGTCTGGTTGCACACTGAATTATGCATGTAGCAGCTGCATTTGATAATACATTTGGATACAAAGAATGTGAATCTAGTTTTAAAAACATCTATACAATTGCTATGAAATGCTCAGTCGATATGGTCAACTGACTGAAAGAGAAAAAAGGACATTGTAGAGGGATTGTGACCCAGAATAAGCAAACAACTGCTGCAAAAGTGACTGCAGAGCTCAATCTCAGTCTAAGACTGAGCTTTGCAGTCATTTTTGCATCAGTTGTTTTCTTTTAAGCAGTTACAGCAAACAGTTTTTTTTTTGGGGGGGGATAAAGGTTTTACATAAGTAAAAGCTAAGCATTGCCAACACCCCTGTGAGTGGCAAGTTGCTCTTTTCAACACTATAACTGATATATTTGCAGGAGAGCTTGTTCTGCTGAAAAACAGCAGACTTACTGGCTGGATCACTGGATGAATATTCTCAGTTGTACTCCTGTCAATAGATAGTGGAGAAAACGTTAGATAGGGTCAGCTGGGAATTTATGAAAATTACCTTGAAAGATTTAGGCCTGGGGCCTAAAGTAAAGGGGAGGTATCAGTTTTATATAGTCATCCCATTGTCAAGGTCCCTACCTTTTCCCTGTGGTTATGTTACTTCATGTGCTGGTGTCCATCTTGGATTCTGCTGTGCATGATGGGAGCCCTTTTATGCCTTCAGGTTTCTGTGGTCCATCCTCCAGAGGGGTGTGGCTGATGACATATAAGCCTGTGGCCCGCACATGCTCTTTGCACTTGTGTCTTGTGTCTTTGTGTTGCTGTTACTCTGTTCTGACTCTCGTGACTCTCCTGGTATCTGATTCGGCTTGTCTTGACTATTCTTTGTATTCTCCTTTGATCTGACCCTCTGTTGCTGAACCCGGCTCGTGACCTGTGATTCTCGTCTGCTGTCCTGTACTGTTCTGTCCTGTTGTTGTTGACCCCCGGCTTGTCTGACTACTCTTTTGTCTCTTCCACCAGCTACACGCCATTGGCGGCGGCCATTACCGCAGCTGAGGTGTCTCGGGGGCCCGCGACCTGGTTCCTGGCTGCGTCAAGTCCATCCCCACCATCAGGGGCCCTGGTGAAGGGCAGCCTGGGACTTAGACTCCGCGCCCTGAGGGACTTCGGTCTGTGGGTGGTGGTTTGTCGTCAGCCAGTGCGTTACATTGTTAGGCCTGCCTGTCCGTTCCTCAGCTCCTGCCCTGACATTACACAAGTGCCATGAACCCTGACGGTGCAGGCACGCCTTCGCTCCCAATGCTAGTCGCCAGACTCGATCAACAGGATCACCTGTTGGATCAGTTCGCTCAGGCGTTGCAAACTCTGCTTGCACGCACCGCGCACCTTACTCCTGGTGTTATTAGGCCGGTTGTCGCTCCGGTGGTCGCTTCCGCTGCTGTTTCCGCTTGCTGTGCCTACCGCCGCGGCTGATGCGGCACCCGCGGTGTCCAGAGGTATGACCGGTTCAGCCCCTCTTCCACAGCGCTTTGGGGGTGAGCCGAGTCAGTGTCGTGGGTTCCTCAACCAGGTGGGTATTTATTTTGAATTAATACCCCACGCCTTTCCGTCTGAGAGGTCAAAGGTGGGGTTCCTCATCTCACTACTCTCAGACAAGGCCTTGGCCTGGGCAAATCCCTTATGGGAGAGGAATGACCCGGTGATTCAAGATTTTTCTGGTTTTGTCGATGCCTTCCGTAGGGTATTCGACGTACCGGCTCGTTCCGCCTCGGCGGCCAAGCTGCTCATGACCATGCATCAGGGTTCACGGACCGTGGCCGAGTACGCTATAGAGTTTCGCACCCTGGCGGCAGAGGTCGGTTGGAACAATGAGGCTCTGGTGGCTGCGTTTTCCTCAGGGTCTTTCTGACTCATTGAAGGACGAGATTGCAGCTAAGGAACTGCCTGTGGTGTTGGAGGAGCTCATCTCTTTCCTGATCCTGATTGACACCAGGCTCAGGGAGAGGCCTTCACTCAAGGAACGCCTGCGGAGGCCTTCCAATCGACTGGCACCTGCGTTTTCTGTCCCACCTGTTCCTCCCTCTCCTCCCACGCCTCCTGGGGATAGCTTGTCTGGTGGGGAACCCATGCAGCTGGGGGTTTTGCTCGCCTTTCCGAGACGAGGAGGGGCAGCGGGGCTGCCGCTCGGCGTCGGGAGGGTCGCTGCCTGTACTGTGGCCTCGGTGGGCACTTTCGGCAGTCTTTGTCCGTAACCCGTCCGGGAAACGCTCGCACCTGAGATCATGTCGGGGACAGATCTTGGGTGGAGTTTCCTCGTCCCCGGCGTTCCGCAAGGATAAGCCACTGATCACCGTGGTCCTTTCTTGGACAGGGGGCTCGGTGACGGCCCAGGCGTTGGTAGACTCTGGGGCCGGGTGGGGTTGTTCTTGGACAGCTCGTTTGCTGCGCAGCACTCCATTCCCCTGCAGGCTCGTGCTGCCCCATTGGTTCTCGAAGCAATAGATGGCAGGCAGGCCCCTGCAGCCGCCGCAGGTTACCCACGAGACCCTGCCAATAGAGGTAGCCAATTGGGGCTGTGTTCACAGGGAGTTGGCCTGTTTTCAGGTGATTTCTTCCCACACTATTCGGTGGTTTTGGGGTATCCCTGGCTCCAGAGGCACAATCCAACCTTCTTGCAATTGGCAAACAGCCGAGATTCTCTCTTTGGTCTCTCCACAGTGTGGGGCCCGGGTGCATCCGGGTGGGCCGGTTAAGGTATTGTGTGCCTCCTCGGACTCTGCGTTGCACCGACTATGGGGGAATACCGGGACGTGTTCGATAAGGTACGCGCTGGTACCTTACCACCGCATCGTCCTTACGACTGCGCCATATCCCTGCAACCCGGGGCCACTCCTCCGCGTGGCAGGGTGTACCCTCTCTCGGTTGCGGAGAATAAGGCCATGGAGGAGTACGTTGTGGTGGGATGCGCTTTCCCAGGGGGCACATTCGTAAGTCTACTTCCCCAGCAGGAGCGGGGGGTTTTTTTTTCGTAAAGAAGAAAGGTGGGGAATTGAGGCCCTGCATCGATTATAGGGGTCTCAATCGGATTACCATTAAAAATGCATATCCAATTCCTTTGATTTCTGAGTTATTCGACCCGCCTTAAGGGAGCAACGGTCTTTACCAAACGCTCGACCTTATAGGGGCGGCGTACAACCTCGTACGGATCAGACAGGGGGATGAGTGGAAGACCGCGTTTAACACCAGAACTGGGCACTACGAAATACCTGGTGATGCCCCTTCGGATTGTGTAACGCGCCCGCGGTCTTTCAGGAATTCATAAACGATGTCCTTCGTGATTTGTTGCAGCAATGCGTAGTGGTTTTACCTGGATGACATCTTGGTTTTACTCTACCTCCATGGAGTCCCATGTCCAGGATGTTAAGCAGGTGCTGC